TGTAATAATAAGTAAAAATGATAACTGTTGTCAACAAGAATAATGATAATGATAATGATGATGATGATATTATTTCTAATAATAATAATGACAATAATGATCACGGATATTATAACAATAATAATATTGATAATAGTAATAATGATAATAATATTAATGATAATGAAGGAAGTGATCATAATGATAATGATCAGAATAATGGTAATAGTAATAATAATGGTAATGATAATAATGACTATAATAATAATAGTAACAACGATAATAATAACAATGATAACAATACTAATGATAATAATACCGACGATAATAATGATAATGATAATAATACCGACAATAACAATGATAATGATCATAATATTAATGAAAAGAATATTGATAATGATAATAAAATATAAGGATAATAACACCCCCCCCCCCCACACACACACACTCACACACACACAGAAAGAGAGAGAGAGAGAAAGTAAGAATTAATAAATAAACCGACGGCTGGAGACACAAACGAAGCCCGAACGAATGAAAAAGACACAGACAAACAAACAAACACATAAAAAATCCTAGTCATGCCAAAAGGGACCAATTAAGCAAACCAACATTCCCATCCCCCACATCCACGCCAGAATAAACAAAATGACGTATCTTCCAGCGTCCACAAACGTATGCAAATCAACGTCTTCAGTGTCGCTAATGATACATCTCATAGCTCCGCCTTCTTCTTAGGGATTTCTCTTAATCCTACCTAAAGCCCCCCCCCCCCGCCCCCCCAAATCCTTATAATCCCCCTCTCGCTCTCTCTTTCTGTCTATTTCCTTGTCTGTTTCTGTCACTCTCTCCTTCATTACAGACAGAGAGAGAGAGAGAAAGAGAGAGACAGACAAACAGAGAGCGAGAGAGAGAAAGACAGAGACAAAGAGAGACAGAGAGAAAGAGTGAAAGAGAAAGAATGAGATGGGGGGGGGGAGAGTCAAAGAAAGCGAAAACGAGAGACAAAGAAATAAGGAATCGTTTGGTTACCAGAAAAAAAAAATTAAGGGAGGATTTTTTGCCAATGGAGGAACTGGGAGGCAAGGGGATCTGTATAATGCACTCGTAAGGATTTACGAAATACCATTATGTATACCAGGTCGATGACCTACTAATACTTCTTGGTTTTCTAGTTTAGTTGCCCTAAAGAAAAGAACAGAAGTGAATATTAGTCGAAAAATATTTTTGTTCAGATGTAGATAGATAGATAGATTGACTGATATAGACATATAGATATGAATATATATACATATACATATATATAAATGTTTATATATGTATATATATATATATATATATATATATATATATATATATATATATATATATATATATATATATATATGTGTGTGTGTGTGTGTGTGTGCGTGTGTGTGTATAAATATATACAAACTGTATTTACGTGTATACACACACACACACACACACACACACACACATATATATATATATATATATATATATATATATATATATATATATATATGTATATATATATACATATATATATATATATATATATATATATATATATATATATATATATGTATATATATATATATATATATATATATATATATATATATATATATATGTATATTTATATATATATTCACTATAAATACACACACACATAGTTGATTCCATTCTAGGTAAACACGAACTACGAATCAAAGTAAAATATAGAACTGTTATTCCCTGGCGTAAAGATGACTATGCTAACAATACATTAGTGTTATGAGTATTGGTAGATCCCGTCTCCCTTTCGTGATATATTCAGAAACTGAACAAATAACAGTCGAGCTGCTTCATTAACAGAGTTAGAATTATTACAGGACACTAGTCATTCTCTTTTCCCTTCACTTCCTCCTCTCTTTCTCTCTTTCTTTCTTTTTCTTTGTTTTTCTTTCTTTTTTTCTCGTCCACACCTCCTCTCTCCCTCCCTCTATATTTCTCTTTCTTTTTCTCTCTCTCTCCCTCTCACTCTCTCTTTTTTCTCTCTTTTTCTCTCTCATTCTCATCTCCCTCTCTCTCACACACACATTTTTCAAAAATTTTCGTCGGCATTAGACTGAATGTATCCTTTATTTCTCATACACAATAGAGCGCCAATAGAACTATATTTGTTCGTTTTTCCGGTCGGGAAAATAATCTAGTCACTGATGAATTCGATCTGGGAAATAAACTAGTCATTGATTAGGTCATTCGTGGAAATAATCTCTAGTCATTGATAAAGTCGGTCTGGGAAATTAACTAGGCATTGATCAGGTCAGTCGAGGAAATAATCTCTAGTCGTTGATAAGGTCTAGTGATCGTTTTCCTCCATAGACCTTGAACTGATGCTTCATTTGACCTTAATTCAAGACGCACTTTGGCCATGATTAGATTGATTCAAATGCTCAACCCATTCTAGTAATGAATAGAATTAATCAGATGCGTCACCAACCCACATGATTGGATAATGATTCCCAGCTGA